GGGGGGGGGGGGGGGGGGGGGGGGGGGGGGGGGGGGGGGGGGGGGGGGGGGGGGGGGGGGACTCTGCAGCAGGATCGAACGAACATTATTAGCAGCAGTAGATCGACCGACCTCAGTGCTGATGTTTGATGATTCTGATAAGGTCTTGAGCTTGATTGCGAAGAGCTGGCTGACTACTGTCGCCGACAACATCCCTCAAGCAAGGGGCAGGCCGATCGTACGTCCGTCTGATGATGATGATGATGATGATGGTACAAACATGATTCCTCAAGGCTAGTGGCACGCGGCTTGGTCGGGCAGTCACTGGTCGATTTTCACCTGCTGTGCGGTTGTTGGTTTGTTGTTGTTGGCGGCCTTGCCTATCGCCGGACCAAAGACCAACGGCTTTACAGCGGTTAGCTTAGGGGGCATCGCTTGTATTTGCAGCCAGCTATCGAAACGACGATCAAGGCAAGGTCGAGTTTCTTTTTCCTTTGCCTTTCGTACAATACTGTCTTTTGGCGAAAAAGAACTGCAAAGCAGTCGACACCCTAGAGGTTCGCTTCGTCTGTTTTTGGCCCATGTTGGTTGTTTTCGGTTTTGCAGTCTTTTCCACTCTCTTAATGCCGCCGCTGTGAATTGATTGGTTGCCTTGCGTCTTTTCGTAGTGTAACATAGCTCTTCCTCCGTGGGAGCCGTGGGAGGACAAAAGATCGATTTCTCAGTTTCCCGCTCCCCTCTTGTCTTGAGAGGGCAGTGCGTCGGTTTCCCCCCTCCTAAGTAAGTTAGCGTTCGTTGCTGCTGCTGCGGAACGGAGACGCGCAGATAGTAGTAGTTACGCAACAATCGACTGCCTGTCGTGTTGAAGAGTTATTTTCTGTGCGTGTCGCGCGTCGAGGCTGCCCGACTTGATCGCCAATCAACTTGTAAGAACGGAAGGGAAAACGCGACGAATCGATAATCGATCTTGCGAAAAGGTGCAGCAGTGCGTAAAGCCAGCATGGATGGATGGATGGTTCGTTTCTGGATTTGGTTCGCTTTTGTCGAGTGTTGGGAGCAGACCGATCGGAGCTGTTTCCGTGGGCACGAAGCGTTCGGTTCGTCTAGTGATGCCCATGGGAATGACGCTAAATAAAGGGGCGCGGCACGTAGTAGGCGATGGGTGACGGAGTTGAATACCTAGGATGATGATGGCGTCAGTATGTACGGGAACAAGCCGCGATTGCTGCTGCTGCTGCTGTCTGCGGAGCCCCTTTGGAGGTCCCACGAGGAAAGCCACTCCCCGCCAGCCAGCTCAATCGTTTCGATATTTCGATGTTCCCACCATGCATGGTGATTGTTGCGCTACAGCTAGGAGCAGAATCCTTCAGTGTTTTGATTGGCCCCGTCACGTGTCTCGGTCAGTGTTTTCCGAGGGTGGGTTATCTTTTGCGTCGATTGGATTTGACAAGTTGTTGTGACTTGCGATACTTGCTTGGGTGTCGACAGCAGCACAACTACTCGTGTTGGGCTCGTGCGCCAGCAGCTTGTTGTCTTGCATTCAATTTTAGTATTATTTTCCCCCTAAGGTTGCAAGAAGAACAAGCGCAGCAGACAGATTTACTACGCCAGATGCATGAGGATTAAATATGGGAAAGGAAAGCACTTTTTTTTGGTGCAGCTCACTTTTTTTTTGTTTTTGAAAGTCCGCTCTTGGATGAATTTTTGCTTGCTTAGGGTTGTTCCTCAGGCAACACAAAATTAGTGATTCAAGTTGATTTTATAGTTCGGGCGTTGTTGTTAGCGTAGATGGCCATTCTTTGTTGCAGGCTGGGTCTCGATGTCTACCTGTCGGCAACAGGCATGCAGCGGGCAGTGATGACAGATGCATCATGGGGCTAATTTAGTTTTTTTCAGTGCCTAGACCGCGTTTACCACGTTTTTTCCCCCATTTTTTTCCTCTTTCCGTATGTTGCGGGTGGCGAGATTTGAACCGAGCCGGGGTTCGCTTCCATCAAAGTTGGACATCCCCATGCCGATGTCATTCAGTGTGAAAAGGCGAATCGTCCTCTACGGACATGACAGGGGACATGTGACCCTTCGTAAAGCTCATCTAGCTCCATACCAACGAGGAGGTAGTTCCTGCTGCCTGCTTGTTTTCCCGACACAACACACCTAATCCGAGAGAGGGAGAATTATCCCCCATGTCGAGTGAGCTGGCGGACATTCTCAAGTGCTTGGTGTGTACTGCTGCTTGCTTTTGTCCGATGCGCCCGTCTTCTTTCAGCACCATGGCAAACAAACAAAGAAGAAACAGCAGCAGGGCCGGACCACCATTATCTACGACATCTTGTCCGAACTTTTTGTTGTTTTTGCTCCCATCATTGGATTCTGTCATCTGCCCCTCTGGCCCCTATCCTCCGCTTCTCCTAGCTAGACGACCCAACCGGGGTCACATAGGAGGGGGGTGTTGGAGCCCCTCCTGCGGTTCCTGCCTGAGATATTGTCATCGCGAGAAGGTTACAGCAATCCCTTCCCTCGCGACTGGTGAAGTCGATCAAGTTTACTATCAACGCGTTTTGCAGTGCATCGCTTCCAATGGAGACCAGGACTTAATAAGTGAGAAAAAAACCACTCTGTCGGGACTCGACCCCATGACCTGCCCCTTAGCAGGCTGCGAGGCTACCCAATAGACCACCAGGGCGACCGGTCCGGACAATATCGCACGGCGGTTCGAGAATAATGCGGTACGGGATGGGACGAACTCGTACCGTGCATGTAGGTCATTGGCGCCGTCTCTGTGAGGGGTCCACCCAAGCTCGTCCTAAACTTGGCCATCAGACACAGAGCGGTCATGATTCTCCGCCTCCCCCCCGCCCCTTGGTTACGAACGAACACACACACACACCGATCTTGGTTTCATCCGCTGACACTCACGTCTTGTCATTGATCAGCCGGATAGCGCGGTCGATGCCAATAATTAAAACACACCGATCCATGTGCGCTTTCTGGTGCGATGGGAGCATAATGTGACGTGCTTCGTTAATGCTTCATCAAACAGTGTACACATCACGCTCACCTTCTCTGCCCTCTGAACCCGCTCGCTCCCCACGAGGACGCCAACAAAAAACGCGGAACGCCGGCTACTTGGTGCACGCGAAAGCCGTCGTGGGCTCTCTACAACAAGGCAGGTGTAGGACTTTGTGCCACGCTGGCTCACCCGCCCAATATTGGGCACCCTCCCTGTTCGAGGCGACAATCAACATGACTACCATATATGACACAAGATAACACACCCCCTCGACCAATTTTCAAAGCTCGATTACTCCACGACGAAGAGGATGCACAAATGAAACGACACGTTTTCGAAAAACTCTCGACGAGTTAGCTTCACACCGTTGTTTCGGCGCTGTGGATCTATCTGCTGTTGAGAAATCGGGATTTGAAAATCGGTCCAGGGGGTGTGCTATCTTGCGTCATTGACGGTACTCTACTGTGTCTGCAACAAGAGCTTTCCACCTGCCCTATAGCGACCACCCGCCCGCAATAAACAGCTCTTCCTATCCAGGGCCGACGAGCGTACAATAACACCAGTTTTTCACGACGACATTGACCGTGCCTCTATGTATATGTCAGCCTCTCCTTGCCTGTCTACTACTAATATAATACCCAGTTTCCGCAAGCCGGACAACTTTGTTCTTTTCTTTTTCGACAGTGCAGCACTCCTGCCACCCGCCCTGTTCTATTGCAAGAGTCCGTCGCGCTCTAACGACAACCCAAGGCGCAGCAAGCCAAGACTCTGCCCTGCGCGTCTCTATCTCCTCGCGGTTTACATTTCACAAGCAGCTGCTCCCTTTTCTTTGCCATGCGAGGTGCTACCACCACACCAGCCTACCCCCAGGAGCCCTCTGTACCCGGGCCACTGCCGCTACTGTCACTGAAGACACCGGCGCTACCGCTGCCTTGAACCATGGTCATGCTGGGTGTTCTTCATCGATACTTCGTAATGAACCGCAGATGGGGGGCGCAGCCTCGTACAAAAGTTCATAGACCCCCACCAGCAGCGACGACAGATTTCCGCGCCCGGCAACTTCTAACAGGGGACGAACGTGTTGCTGGCACAACACGAAAAAAAAGAAGCCTTCGGGTTTAAGCGACGCCCGACCACTGTCATACTGAGGTGATCTCCAGCCCCTTTCTTCTCCAGTTATCATTGAACATCACATCAGACCCATCGTGAGATCAGCTTCACATCAGGCCCATCGTGACATCAGCTACAGCATGATAAACCCGAAGAGACGAAATAAAAAACGGTGTTCATCGTCCCATCTTAAACGGCGTTGCGCGTCTCATAGCGCTCCCCGAGTAACGTCATCTTGGTGTAGGCCTCAGATAGATCTGACATGAACGCCTGTCGAAATTCACGGTTTGGTTTGGAACACCCATCCATCCCCGGCGTGCCGGCGCGCGCGCAAGTTGCCCAGACGGTCACAGGACACGACGGTGTGAACGAGATGACTATGCGACGAGAACGGTGTGTGAGGGTGTTGTAAGCGCGTTGATTGTGGGACAAGAACGGTGTGTGCGTGGTCGGAGCGAGTTGATTGTACCACACGTACCGCATGCGGCATTCACCGCATGGCATGGGAGTAGATAAAAATAGACGCAAATCCTGCCGGTGACTAACTCCTGTGACCCATGCCTCACAGCACGGGGTGGCTTGTCTCACTGTCGAACGCACCACCGGTGCAAAAACAACTAATATTGAACCACAAACACAAACGTCTTGTCGCGTCTTGCCGCTGCCGCATCATCTCACGTCTACCCGTGCTCCAATAAATTACCCCGATGCTCTCTTTAACACTTCGCCAACAACGCTATGCAGTGGCCTACAGAACGCTTCACCACTAGAGAACCTCGTGTCATTTCGGGCGAGGCTCGCTTCTTTAGGACATGGGGTACTGTACCGTACCTTCACGGCGACAACACAGGGTAAATTTGACACTATACGTTCGAATGTAGGCTTCGACTACATAGGTTTCAGCATAGGCTTAGACTACATAGGTTTCAGTGTAGGCTTCCACTACATAGGCTATAGTATAGATTTCGACTATGAAGGTTAAAGTGTAGGCTTCGACTACATAGGCTTCTTGACGAAGCACCTGTTCTTACGGCCGATTTGTCAGATACTGGAATTTTCAAGGCTCAAGTTCTTCACTGCAAAGTAAAAGGTGGCGCCTTCCGCACTGTTTTACCCTCATGCCTACCTTTGAGTTCCCCGCGTATTTTCTCACGTACGTCTTGACCTCATCGTCTTCCAGGAGCGCCTTCCCCACCACCCCTACCCCCCCTCCGTCCTTTCCAGCCGCGGCGACCCGTTGCAGGAAACCCGTCCCGAAGGAGTTGGACAGCGGCCTCCCGAGCTTGTCGGACTCCTTCCCGAAGGTGTTGGGGATGCTGTTCTGCCATGCCAGGTCCTCCAAGTCGTCGTCATCCCCGTCGCCCCTTTTTTCCAGGAGGGAGACAACGCGGTTAATTGTGACGTTTGTTTTGATACAGTGTTGAGCGCGTGTTTATTCCATCTCCATCGGCTAACCCGCTGTCTCCCGGAGCGCTGCAATAAGCGGCATCTAACGCGGTTGCAACTACGTTAAGTGGATCGCATGATGTAAAACCGATGGAATGTCTAGCCGCAACAACCGCCTGCTGGGTGTTGCATCGGTCCAGTATATATTTTCTGTTCTATCTCAATGGACTCACCCGCCGTTCCCCACAGCACTAGCCGCATCCGAGACACTCCCGAGAGCTCCCAGTAGCAGCACCATCTCCCTGTCGCAAAGAATCACCGCCGTTGAGGAGCACGTCGCGATGCACGCGCATGCCGTACCGGAGGGGTAATCGCGCAGAAACGCGTGTGAGCTACCACCGACCTTGTACTCTTGGGGGGGCAAGACCGTCTGTCTACAGACTCGCCGTGAGCTGACTCCAATCTTTCCCCCCAAGGCCGCACGAGGGCGCGGAGTGTCCAGTGGAATGCGTACCAAGGCCGCACAGCGCATCCACGAGAGACCACACCCCTTGGTAACCCATCGTAGAGCCTTTGCCCAAAAATGCACCGATGGAAACGCGCAACAACACATGTTGAGTACCTCCGTGTACGTTTGCAGCAGCACGGACCTGCCTGTCTACAGATTCACCGGTCGACACCAACACCCATTGGTGAAACCATTTGTTGTAGCACCTCGCCCCAAAACGGACCAAGGAATCAAACACGCGACGACACATTTCCGTGTAGTCCTGCGGCAGCGGAGATCCGGCTGTCTGTCCAGATTCGCTGGCAGCGATGAGACCACACCCGTTAGCCCTAAGGCGAACCAACGAATGTAGAAATATCTAGAAACGGACAGTTCACGATTGAGGACTGCCAGTTCTTTTTCACCCAGGCCCGGAGGCGGACCAACGATCCTGGAAGGGGGATTCATTAACGATGCAGCAGCGTTGCGTTCCGGCCCTTTTTCACCTGGGCCCAAGGCCAGCCCGCTTGAACGCGGCCTTGACTCCCGCTCCGGTGGGCTCGTCGAAGCTGTAGCCTTTGATGTCCGCGGCAGGGTTGGGCGCCTTCTTCTCGTCATACCTGAAACAACAAAAAAAAGAGGAGAAAGCGAACTCTGCCTCGGGAATTGGGCCGGAACAAATCGTTGGCGCATGGTGGGATACCACACCTAAACGAACTTAACGTCGTGTCAACATCGGCACCTTTTTCGCAATTATGGGCATATAAACACGCTTCAACACAAGATGGAACCCAGAGCATTTTCCTTCCATGTATTCAGGCATTTGACTATCTGACCCCTGGGGACACATCGCAGTTATTGCACGTCCTACCTTACCATGTATGTCAGGGGCATCCTTGTCTGAGGGCCTCGAGTGTTTTCTTATCCCATCGATACTTCACAAACTGACTCTCGCCTCCTGAGCTGCAAGAGGATTCAATGCACGCCGTACCACGCCATGACGAACACACGCCCAGCCCAAGGACGATTAACCCCCCATAAAAAAAAAAATGATACCCTGTTGTCTCAAAAATCTTCAGCACTTAGGGAAAAACAAATCGTGGTAAAAACCTTCCGAGCTGCACGAGCATGGGAGGGCCTCCGCAAGCGTGGATAGCCTCCGCTCCCCCCATGGAAATAACATCGGCGAGGGTCATCTCATTCGTGCGCTGCAGGTTCTTTTTGATCTTGAGCGCATTCTCCACCGCTGGCTTCAGGCTCTTCGTCACTTCCCTGGGGCAAGAGACAGACAGACAGAGGGAGAGCGAAGATAGGAAGAAGGAGGGGGAGAGCGAGAGCGAGGGAGGGAGGGAAACCGAGGGGGAGAGAGAGAGGCGCGCACAGACAGTCAGAGAGAGGCGCCCAGAAAGAGAAAGAGAGAGATCAACACAAAAAGAGATAAGAGAAAGAGAAAAGAGAACAACGAAAAAAAACGGGGGACCAGAGCGAAAAAAAAATACAGCCCATGTTCATCCTCAAGGTTTGGCGTCGAAAGATGCTGCTACAGTATAAACCTGCTGGGCCAACTGCCGTGCTCTTGCCGCCACCGTCGCATTTGTTGACGGAAAACGTCGCGTCCGATCTCACCTGTCCAGCTCTAGCACCACAGAGCCATCGGGTCCGCCCGTCTGGGTCGACGCGTCGAACCCAAGGGCGTCCGCGATGGCCAGCTTGAGCATCTCCGGCGCTAACTTGGGGTCCTCCAGCAACTGCGGAGTAACCAACACAAAGGGAGCATGAAATCATGGAACAAAAAAAAACACAAACAAATAACGCAAGGCGTAAAGGACACAGACACCATAAATTACTTTCATCTGGAGAGTAGCATCATAGCATCCCCCCCCCCCCCCCCCCCTCGTGGGGTCCCAGATCAAGGTAGCCTTTAGAAGCAGCTAGTGTTTTCAGTCGCACTGAGGCTGGCGTATTGTCATTGGTCAGCCGGTTAGCGCCTGTCGATGCCAATGATAACACACACACACACACACACACTCACACGCGGCGGCGGCCGGCGACACTCACGGAGTTTCGTATCTGTTGCCTGAGCTTGTTGACGGTGGCGATCTTGAGCTCTTTGTCTCCGTACCGTTCCGTCTCGAAGTTAACGCTCGCTTGGGCAGCCTTGGGTGAAACCGCCAAGGCGAGACCGAGACCGAGGGATGCCGCCACGGACGAGATGAACTCCCCCCGACACAGGTTTGACCCGCCGCCCCCGGTGGAGCCCTCTTCCGCGGCCGCCATCATCGAAACGCTGCAAGAGGGGGACAAATACTGTTGTTGTTGTTGTTGGTGGTGGTGTTGGTGTTATTTGACGTTAGTGCTGTCGTTATTTTTGTTGAGGTGTTGGTGGCGGTGATGTTTGTTTGCCGCTTGCGTTGTTGCTGTTGTTGATGGTGTTGATCTTGTTGTTGATGGTGTTGGCTGCTGCTGCCGCTGTTGTTGTTTCTGTTTGTTGCTTTCGCTATTGTTGTTGTTGTTGTTGTTGTTGTTGTTGTTGTTGTTGTTGTTGTTGTTGTTGTTGTTGTTGTTGTTGTTGTTGTTGTTGTTGTCGTTATTGTTGCTGTTGTGTTCTCCTCCACACTTCAAAGCCGTTCCAGCCGATCTGCGGCATGTACCCTCCTCATCCCCCGTACAGTGGAAGCCCAAGCAGCAAAGCGAGTTCGTTCCCACACGCAAGCCCACACACCCGCCCACAAAACCTAAAATCATTACCGACTACCAGCATGATGAGGTGTCGCTGTGGGTGAGACGTGCCATTGTACGACTGCTGTCAATGGGTTGCATACCTCACGATGGCATGCACAGAGCAGCAGCAGTGGAAGGAGGTAGTGTTGATGCCGAGAGCTTGAAGGAAACTGCCACATGTACGTTTCGCAAGATACCGCACCCCTTGGATCGATATGTACTTCCCAATACCAAAAGACGAAGACGGTGCAAACATGCGTATCAAACCATACATTTTCGGAAAACTCTCGGAGAAACGAGGCGATTGCAACGCCGTCATTTTCGGCACCGGCACTCGTTCTGCTGCGAAATAATCTAGCCTTCAAAAGTGGTTCCGGGGGTGTGATAACTGTCATGTCCCCTACATAAGGTCATCATGCGCATGATAGTGTATGTACAGCAGTCTGCGCTACAACATGAGTTGACGAACTGTGCACATTTGCTTGTCTGCAACTCAAGGATGTCCCGCATAGAAACAGCGCATTGCGAACGCACATAAAGCCCCCAGATAAAAGGTGTGGGGTTAAAGCTGCCGTCGTAAAGGTTGGGGCTTTTCGTCTTTTGGGGATAAGATGGGGAGAGAACGGTGGCTCCTGCGCCGCCGTAACAGCTCCATTGCGCGCTGACTCGACGGCGGGCATGACGTGGGGCGGAACAGGCAGTCTTGAGCAAATCTTCCCAGCAGACAAACTTGCCGAGCGCAAAAACATCTATTCAGCAGGACCCTTGTTGGAAGCTATCGGAAGACCTGCATGGAAAACACGTATAAATGCATTGCTGCCGTGCGGACATCCAGTCTATGCGGCAGTAGCGCTGATGATCCTTGCACGGAAGGCGGGCGGTGCTTTACCTTCTTCGATCGGCGTGAGACGGAGTGTTGACGGCTGCATTGCGCCCGAATTTAGGGGAGGCAGTGAAGGCCTCCGTTCCTTTATCCAGCGCAAGAGCCAGGAACACCCCGGCGACTCCGTGTCTCGGCATGCTACAGGATGGAATACGTGGCGGGTAGCTCTGTCAGCCCTAGCAAGCTATCCTACGAGGAAACGAGCGAGCGCCATCCGGGGAAAAAACATTGACAACCCCGGGAGTTCCAGAACTAGATATATGGTTCAGAAGCATGAACCTGCGGGAGAACCAGGGCACGAGGAATGAGCAGTGGGAATGAGCAGCACCGGCGCACCGGTAACAGAGCGGTGCGGCTGGCTGAAGGCATGGTGGCGGGGCCAAATTGTTGGTGGATGTGTTGAGGACGTTGACCCACGTGTACATGCTGACGACGACAGTGGAAGGACTCCTGTGCCAACCGAGGAACGTTTTTCGAGGGTACCAACTGATCCCCCAGCAGTACTTCCGGTCGCCCCGGTGGTCTAGTGAGTAGCCGATTAGCCTGCTAAGAGGGCCAGGTCATGGGTTCGAGTCCCGGCAGATAATTTCTTTTCTCACTAAATGAATCCTGGTCTAGGATGAAAGCGACGCGCTGCAAAGCTCGTTTGTTAGTAAACCATAATCGACTTCGTGAGTCGCGAGGGAAGGGATTGCTGTACCCTTCTCGCGATAAAAATACCTCAGGCATGAACCGCAGGAGGGGGTCCAACCCCCCCCTCCTATGTGACCCCGGTTGGGTCGTCTAGCTAGTAGAAGTGGAGGATAGGGGCCAGAGGGGCAGACGACAGAGTCCGATGATGTGAGAAAAACAAAAAAACAAACAAACAACAGCACAGCCTACAATGCACTGAAATTGGATACTTGATCTTTGGTTGACTCCAAAAGATCTCCAACAAATCACAACTACTGCTGTTATCGAGTTCTTCTGTCGTCAAGGCGGGGAGCATTTCCATCCTTGTCCCCGCAATTTCCCAGACAAACACCTGGAAGAGCATGGACAAGGGTGGCTCACGACGACAGTACTGCTGTACAGGAGGTCGCGGACACGATTCGTGTGTGCCTCCGTTCATTGCTCGAGTTGGCAGAATACAGCCCTCCCTCCCTTCAGAACGTCCCGAATGTACAGATACTTGGCCAGGTCGACATCGTTCCCGGTCCCCGACTTCCGCCGCGTGGCGTAAGAAGTGCGGGCGACCCAACCATCTGCTTGTGCTCTGAGTGGTCCCTATTGTAAACCCATGTATCTAGATAGGCCGGTCGCCCTGTAAAAGGCCGGTGAAATCGCGTGCCACAAGAGAGATGGCATATTCAAGCTATCTCGTACTTTGAGTAGTGCCGGGTGCTCGTTATAGTTGCCTGTCAAATCCCTTGGCGCTACTACGCGGCCTTGTTCAGGGACCACTTTACGTACGGTATTCGTCGGTGGGTCGGTTAGTCGCGGGCATCCAACCCTCTGTCGCCGAGGCCCAGGTCAATGATACAGTCCAGCACCAGGTAGATGGCTTCTAGCTCTTTCCGCTGCTGCGGCTGCTGCTGCATACGGCCGTGGCTACTACTGTCTGCCGCTGTTCCTGGCTGTGATTGGATGGACGAGCTGTCCTCGGCGGTCATGATCGCCAGCCTGTTACAAAAGTTCGAGGCGCAGTTTTGAGAGGGCGTAGGAGCAGTGGTAGCAGAGGCACTGCCAAACTACAGCGAAAAGATGCACTGCTTCCTCCAGCGTAATATCTTGGACAACCACCAAAATCGCATCTGTACACTCAGCCCACGGCCATACTGTAGTAGAAAAACAACCTGAAATCCTCCTGTCTTTATCAAGCAAGCGGCCTGGGTTATCTGCATCATCTCCAATACTGCAGGGTGTTAACATTCCGCGATGAAATAGGCAGCAGCGTGACAACGACGACGCCTTGGATTTGGTGCACACAGCGACCAGTCACTGTACCAAACGATCGTCGGTCAGCATACACGTCACTACACGCGCTATACGGACAGACATCTGATACACCATGGCCGACTAACAATCTTGGGCGTCAAACCTGCAGGCCGCCTCGATGCACTCGGTAAAGACCAATGACGGGAGAGGGGGCTTGCCCTGCACCTATCGGGGGGCCGCGGAAAGAGAGTTGTGATTGTATGCAGGCACACCACCAGCCGGCGAAGGGTCGGTGTAAGTATGCTCAACTCAATGGTAGCTCCTTCGTTTCGAACCCGGGTGAGATTTATTATCTTATGGGGACACCAACGTTAAGAACTGTGCAAGAATGAACATGTTTCTTTGCAGCAAGTGTGTTGTTTTCCAACTTGAACATACATTGAATTCGTCTTTCAGTAGAGTTTCTGGACGCATCAAACCGGCGTCGAACAGACGGAACGGCAGAGAGGAGGCAAAAAGCAATAGACACAGCGCGGATGGAATACCCACTGGTAGGCAAGAGATAGCTGGTGCTGATGGAGCAAGTAAACCTCGGCAAAGGCCTACTCCATGGCTTCGGCAGAGGAACTATAATTTGCACCTGAAATCACTAGGTGGGAGGGCACCACATATGAGATGCCCGTGGTTATGCTAGAACGCAAATCCTGGCCAAGTGCAGTCCGTCGCCATGGATTCTGTAGAGCCCTATGCCGATCACACCCCTCGCCCACGGAGACTAGACAATCGTCTATATTCCTTGAACTACAACACGTAGGTAGGAGCCATGCTTATCAAGAAATCCGGGCCTAGACCGTGTTGGAGAAAGACGGGATCTCAAGACGTCAGGCACTTGTGTTCCCGAAGAACAGGCACTTGTGTTCACGAAGAACAACGAGGAATCTATAATAGCGATCGAATGTTGACTGCCTCATTTTTTTGGCTATTTCAGGGCCCTGCCCGTCAGAGAACTCCCCGTACTCACTGAGACTCCCGAACGAGACCAGCAACCAGGTGGTGTGTGGGCTAGTGTGTGCTAACGCCATTTTCTGTCGCTACATCACACGAAAAGTTTCAGTGCCGCCGTTAGAGAGACTCGAGCAGAAACAAAAAAATAGCGTCTATTGTTGTCCATTGCGCGAAAAAACGTTTGTTGTGCCGTTCTGTCAGACCTGGAGAAAGCAAGTCTCCGCCTGGAAGTCGAACTTGGCTCTGCCGCTGGTGGTTGCGGTCATGGCGGACATCACTCCGCAGTCATCCATTAGCTCTCTGCAAAGGGTTCAGCATTTCCAGCGTGTCGAAGAAACTGTTTTATCCTCATGGTATTCATGATTGTAGGATCATTGACCAGGCAAGGTTTTTTGTACGCCGTGGTCCCTTAACGGGTCTGAGAGACGCGACGCAGCCCCTGGTGCTGGATCACGTTTCAAGCCAGTTTATTTTTTGCTGTAATGTTGCAATCCGTGCTCGAGCTCTTGGTGGAGCTGTTTTTCGAAGAACGGGGAGGATCATTGTTCCTTGCGACCAAGAGTTCCGTCGAGGTCAGACAACGCACAACGTACGCGACAGGATATCCAACACATGAACGGGCATATTGTCCAGATATCGTCATCGACTCTCAGCTATAAGCTTTATTCGTAACGCCCGGTTCAGAAAACTGTGTTGTTGGTGTTTACGATCCTGGGTATTGGGGTAGGGCCGCCGCAAACTGGGGCGCACCCCCTACGGACGCAAGAAGTCCGAAAGCGAGGTACTGTACCTAAAGTGGTCTAAGGTGATGAGGGCTCCGCCCTCGGAAGCCTCGGCGTAGAGCAAGAACGCCGAGTGCAGCAGGCGTCGATTGTCGGAAATATATTGCTGCACCTCCTGGTCGAGATACAGCAGCAGGGGGAACGAATCTTGATATGAACGGGCATGTAGCGGACCCTGCACACGCGTGGTTGCGATTGGTGCAATGCCCCTCTCTCGCGCCTTAGAAACTTTTTCGAAATCTGTCGTCCGCTACACAGCGGCATCGCGTGCAAGAGGTGACTGGTTCTGCTGCTTTCTTGTGGGCAAAGTTCGGTATCGGTATCTATTGCAGATCAACGCCGAGTAGCACGTATTCATGTCATGGCTATGCCGATACCACACCAACCGTATTTCTGTGGCGAACCGTACCATAGGGTTTTCAAACGATCCAGATCCATGCCTTCACATTATACGGAACGTACCATGCTCTCGTGAATAACACACCGTCCTGCATTCTAGAACGAACGCACTCCGTCGGTAACGTAGCCGACCTTACCGGCCTAGTGATTTCCACGCCGACATCATCGCTCATGGTCAATGTGTGCGTAGGAAGCATGACCTCTTCCACGATCTCCCTCATGGCCTCCACCGTTCCGCCCCCTGCACACGTTGGCGGAAACGAAAATTGCAGGAGAATGGCATCAAGAAGCACATGACAAACGGCACGTACATTCATTTTTTTTGTCCTTCGCACACGCTTTGATGAATCTTCTCTCCTTTCCCAACGCCTAAGCAATCAACAATAGTAATGGTGTGCAACGGCCACATGCGGAGAACGCGAGATCACCCACCTTTTCTCCGTGCGATCAGGACCAACGCAGCCAGGAATTGCGCCCTAGAAAGCACCTGGAATTGTAGCGGTCGACCCGGAGACGGGGGCAAGAAAATTTTGAAAGGTCATCTACAGTCTCTAAGGTGTGGCCGTTTCAGTTGTCTGTCTGTCTGTCTGTCTGTCTGTCTGTCTGTCTGTCTGTCTGTCTGTCTGTCTGTCTGTCTGTCTGTCTGTCTGTCCGTCTGCCTGTCTGTCTATCTGTCTCTGTCTGTCTCGATCGGTTTCTCAATCTCTCCATCGCTCCATGTCTGTGGTTCGCTCTATCTGACACTCGCTCGCCCTGTCCCTCTGCCTCTCCCTCCGTCTCTCTCTCTCTCTCTCTCTCTCTCTCTCTCTCTCTCTCTCTGCGAGTGGGCCGGCAGAGTTTTAACGTTATCTATAACTACGTAACGCCGTTCTACGCATCGGTTTCCCGCGGACATGCACTCGAATAAGTGCCAAGACCACAACCCACCATGGTTTGCTGCTAATGGCAACAAAAACACTTGTCGGTGTATTCTTCTCAAATGTGACGGTGTCGTCTCGGGTGGGAGATTCGACGACAAAGCGTGTTTGCGAATCCGTGCGTGTGAGCCGTGTGAGGCTCACATTGTCTTTGTTTGCCTTCCCCTTCCTTACCGTCGCGGGTGGAGTACAACCAACAACACACGAACATAGCACTATCAAGCAATTCAAATGCATACCTACGAGATTGACGCTAACAGACGTGGTGGCCATGCGGGGGACATGCATCACGCAACTTGATGGTATCGGCCAGTGTTCAGCTGAGCGGGGCTGGGCTGTTGAATTGGTGATATCCTGCGGTAGCTTCTGATCAAGGGGAAAGCCGCAGTTCGGGAGGAAGCCGAGCATATTTTCAAGGTGCGGAACTTTGTAGTCAGCCTTTTCCATTTACAACAAATCCACCTCTATTCATAGATAAGGATAAGGGTCTAGGATTGCCAATATACTCATAGGGTAGCACTTTGGTACGATCCCTCATGAAACCATGCGGTGAGAAACAGCCCACGCCGCAAGAGAGCGAAACGACTCATTCTGACCGTGACATCCCCGGGCCAATGTCCCCTCTTGGCGTCGCGGAATACCGCCCTCACGGGGTTGGGGGGATCCCTTCTCTCGTCACCCTTTGCATCCCCCGCCTGTGCATCGCGGACGTACGGCATGATGCCGTACCGGTGCAAGCCGTGTGCGAAGTCTTGGAACGACATTGCTGGAGACGATCCCCCGGGCATCCTCCCTCCGCTACATGAAAACCGCGCGCGGCAGGCCAGACGGAACGTCGCGGGGAAAGCCGTAAGCGCAGCACTCTCTGACGGGTGTTCTCAGCGGTTCACCTGGCACTTCATCGATAAGCGGTAGCGCGGCCCCCAAGGCTGCTCAAGAGCACCCGGACGCCTCAGCAAATATGGCGATTTGTTATTGCTGAACAGAAACGTTTCCGAACAACTACAGCCCAGCACCATCGTGTGGGTGTAGTCATGGGGGACGTGTTGTCCACGGCCTACGGTGACGTCCCATTTAGATCGTTCGAGAGTGTTTGCTGTCCTACATAGACGTCCACGGGTCGATGGCGGCATTCTAGATGATTCGAGAGCGTCTGTCCTACATTCGTGGACTACGGTCCATGGTGACACCGTAGCGTCCTTGCTGTCCTACTACACTGAACTCCATTGTGTGTGGTGACGCCCTACAACAGATGGTTCGAGAGCGTTTCGCTATCCTACCATGGTATCTGGTATACCATAGTATCTGGTATTCCATGGAATCTGGTATTCCATCGTCTCTGGTATACCATGGCATCTGGTATACCATGGTATCTGGTAGAGTTGTCTCTCTGGTCTGTGATCACCTGAGAGACGCGTGCACTTGGTTGAGAGCCGGCAGGTGACTCTGTAGGAGCCCCTTGACAGCCAATGTTTCCTTCGGGTCGTTCACAAGACCTGGAAGCATCGTTGATCCACATCGATACCGACCGCAACACATATTGGAGATACATGTGAATTGGTATTTGGTGTAGATGTTGAGACCAACATCGATATTGGAATTTGTTCTGGTATTACGTTGGCAGCCATGTTGACGTCCACGTTGATGTTGACATTGGTATCGGTGGTGATATTGATATGGGCGTCGATGATATTGTCGATGGTACGTTAGCATTGCTACACGTGGACTAATGGCTATTGATATTGACCGGCCCACATCTGGAAAACGCACGTTCGTGTATCTGCATGAATAAACACGGACAAGTTGAGGGGAACGATCTGCTTAGGACGATCAACACGATGGGTACCTTCCCCTGTATACCAAACACCCAACGCTTGCAAGCCGCGGGTTCCTCAAGCTCTCACCGCCGATATCTGCCGACCGCCAGTCGTGCTCCATGGCTGCGCGGATCTCGCCCGGGGTTTCCAGGGGCCCCGAAATGGCGACCCCCTCGACGGTGACGTCGAAACCGCCCAACATGATGCCGTGCGAACCGATCCCTGCGGCCTCGTCGCTGGCCAGCTTGGCTTCGTGCTCCTCTCGCGCACGGATGCCGTTAAGCCTTGCAGCGACGTACACGGAAAACGCGCTCGGGATGAAGAGCATATTCCGTCGAGAAACAGAGGTTCGAATTAATATTCACGAAACGTGAGATTATTGGGTTAAGAACCACAACTCGGCGGTGAATCCTACAAAAACAGTAGTTGGATAATAAAGAACTGTGCTCGAGGTTGACGTAAAAACAAATTGAGCCTCCGCCCGAATTTACACTTCTGGATCGGAGGTCCGTTCTTCGCACGGGGGAGTGTCGTCGAGGAGAGTGGAAGGGCATGGAAGGCGGGGAGGAAAGACTTTTGTCGAGAAGGTACCGGTAAACGTGTGTTTGTAGCTGCTGGTAGGGCGTGCGACCGTTCGAGTCTGAGGCTTAGTTTTTTTTGGAATGAAGGCAGCCAACCGAGCGCTCCACTTCTAACTGGTGTCAGTGATAACAGCAGTCCACGTCGCAATTTGTGGTGCAACTAAGTTCACAAGGGCTTCGTGTGAGATACTGCGCTTGGGGGTGGGGGCAACAGATATACTCTCGTTGTTTTGGATTTTGCCTCCGATGTCCGCTGAAAGTGCCAAATCGTTGCCCGTGGAACCCAAGACACCTCTCCCCCTTTAGTTTGGTTCGTGAAAAACCGGCGTGCTCTGTCCCGGCTTTGTACGGATGCGAGGTCAATGGTCTAACGACTACAGGACGAACGGCTATGAGTATATCCCTGAGCGTTCGTCACACCGGGAGCTTGGCGGGATATTCTACAATGGAATTGTTTCATTCCGATTTCAAGTCTTGAAGTCGCCTTCGACATTGAGGCATACGTCCCTCCTCGAGGTGAGTACCCTCTTGAGGTGAGTACCTGCCTGAGGTGAGTATCTTCTTGTGAGGTGAGTATCTTCTTGAGAGGTGAGTACCTTCTTGAGAGGTGAGTACCTTCTTGAGAGGTGAGTACCTTCTTGAGAGGTGAGTACCTTCTTGAGGTGGTGAGTACCTTCTCTTCGTTGCCTCCCCGGAGCCGAAGGCCTTGAGAAACCACTCGCTAGCCACGGGAGCACCGACATCGTCCACTTCCACCGCATCCATCAAGACCACCTACAGCAAGGATTACATGCCTTTTACGCGATATCATGAAGCAGGTGGTTCAGGTTTCTCGGTAGTGAAGAAGCACGCCGGGTCTTGCCGACCGAGGTAAGAGAAGACGGTGGGGTATGGCTATATCCCGGCTGAAATAGTGCTTGGGTGTCCTGTTTTACACCAGTTCGAAACGTGAGGGGTCGTAAAGAGTCCCCAAAAGCTTGAATCGACGTGTGACGCCAAGAATAGCGACTAAAACGTTGTCTCGCAGAGACCACAAAATCTCTACACAAAGTACGATCTACACCCGTACAATTTCGTACAGGGTGCGTTCTTGACGGGGCGCCTCTCTCGCACCTCCACTTCTGCCCCGTCTTTCAGCACGTCGCCAATCGTCGAGTACGGATCGTCCAAATTGCCGCCCCCCTGCCATGAAAGAGGATCAAGATCAATGGCCAGACGAAAAACCTGCTGCATCGTAATGACCATTCGTATCTCGGTGACTTCAAGAATATGGGGCGTAGACGACCGTTTGAAGCTTTGAGTCGCCGGGTGTTGCGCGAAGTACCCGCTATTGTGTCAGCAAAGGTGACGTTGACACCGAACGCTACATTATATTTTTTTCTCCCGTCATTGGACTCTGTCGTCTGCCCCTCTGGCCCCTATCCTCCACTTCTACCAGCTAGACGACCCAACCGGGGTCACATGGGAGGGGGGGGTTGGGACCCCTCCTGCGCTACATACTTCGGCATGGCATACGAAAAGCGAGGTGGATGTTCCATCAGACAGTTCCCGTCAGCAGCGCTCACGTTGGTGCCTCGCACCCTACGCGTCGCTGTGGTGGTACAGTAGTTTGGTTCGCCCTGAAAGCACGCACCTTCACGAGCACGGCCTTCGGAAGCGCAAACCCTCGCCGTGCGTCCCTCGCTTCCCTCATCCTTTGACGCCCCTTGGGCTGCATCAGCTGGAGCCTCTGCGATGCTGCCAAGGCCAACCAGCGAACATTCTTGTTGGCCGGAGATGGGGGGCGGAGGGCGGGGGCGGGGCGGTCCCCCCCGCGACACGATATCCGCAAAATCAAGGGGCGGATGATCGACGACGGTTTTGGGAGCATGGGCGCATCGGCCTTGCTACTAGGGGAAGGCGACGGCGGGGCTGGAGATCCACCGCCCCCGCCCATGGTCTTCTCGATAAGAAGCGGGGATCATCGCATAGGGAGTTTCATCCTGCATAAGGCGGAGTTCTGTGCGGGTGACATCGTCCTTGGCAACTTCGACTTCTCAGGGGCGTCGACTCGTTGTTTGCAAGTAAGGGACATAGGGTTGTGGAATGCGAGGGTGCTTGATTACCGCGAGCCCGGTCTTTTCGTTCTCCGACGGTTTCGCAAGATGCCGTCAAGTCAACGAATACTAATATGTTTCGTGCTCAACCAAGGGGTTGAAGACGAGCACAGGAGGACTGTGGGAATTAAAGTCATGCGTTGTATTTGCTTCCTGTGTCACCCCGGCCGATGTGGCAAACGAAACCAAAAGGTGTAACCTGGCGCGCAGAAAAAAATGGGGCCAAAAAACAGACACACGTGGCGCGCTCTGGGACGGGGGGGGGGGCGTA